TACATTCAGAAATAATAATAATAATAATATGAGTGTTATTGATTATCAGTTGGCAAGATATTTTTCCACGCAAACATAACACACAACCGCACAATTCGCTGGGCGGGACAGAGTTGAAATTCTAAGAAGTAATCTATGTAGGTGGGGAGAGAGATTGATTACTGAATCCTGCCTGCTTCGTCGAGTCTACAACCAACTTATGCAACAGAAGTGGCTCAACTGAAGTACCAAAGATATGTATGGAAGATATTATTACCAGTCAATTCAGAGGAGGATAATAAATAATCTTAGAATTCTATTTCACTTCACGTACATTATAGCATTCCAACAAGTTACTCATTTATTTTACTGTAAAAACATTGGGAGTACAGAAAGAAAAAGGGTACACCTCCAATTTTCTGAACATGTGCCAGAAAGCCTACGTCTCAAGGGAAAAAACCCTTACAGTAGCGCTATTACCAGACATCTTCTTGACGCGGGTCATGAAGTGGAAATTTAGAAACCCTTCAAAATTATCAATAGACAAAGGAGCTCCATTCTCCTCAAGTTTACTGAAGCAATTTCTATCAAACGCTTGAAGTCATATTTATTAGTTCAGAAAGAAGCAGTGATTAATCTTTCCTTGCCTTGGTAACTGGATGTCTTTATTCACTCTTTCATCTGACCACGTAATCTTAATCTTTAACCTCACCCTCCTTTTATAATCTGTAATTTTGCTTGTCTCTTGTTTTTGTGATTTGAGTTCAACTCTGTACATTGTAACCTAACTTATTAGTCACTATGCATCTAAGGCACATGTCATCTTTATTATGTAATAACTCCTTTACCATTGTATGCATACACTTATTGTTGTTTAAAATTGAACTGCCTGTGTAAAAACTATGTAAGCGGAATTTTCTGAGCACTGTTCACTAATTGTGGAACTTTCTGTCAACTGACATCATGTCACCACATTTACAAGTATTTTAAAACGTTTCTGTACTTAAACCTCATAATTTATTTAGGCTGTAAGCATGACAGCTGATGAGAAGCCAACGAAATAAGCAATGAAAGTACCATATTATTCTGCACAAACCACTGATGTTCTAGCTTTATATATAAAAGCATTTTATTTCCAATCTGATTGTATGTGATTAGTAACAATAATATTATTTCCGAATGTACTTTGTCTTATACTTATTTTATTCAAATGTCTAATCCGGGGTTCGATCCCCGGCCACCGACGCACTCCTTTACCTCGCCAAGTCAGAAATAATGCTAATAAAGAGAGAAGGTTGGGCATGAGGCTAGCAACCTCATCCTTTAAAAATAAACACTACTACAGAAACTTCAAGCCACTAGCTTGAGGCTTTATGTTCCACTGGGAACGTGAAGTAAATTTTAAAAAATCAGGCTTATTCATGTATATAAATGAGGTCAAATGTTGTGAGAGTATCTTGATAGGATTGTGAACAGTAATGATTTGTTCTCGAAACGTGGTTATCAGTAAATATTATTGTACAGGGCTGTGTGATCTATCAAAATAAAATCTTATCTATAATGCAGTGGTATTCTGCCACCATAGTTACCAAGTAGTGGTTTAAAACTGTAAATGTATAATTTATGGTATCAACAGGTTCGCCTAAGTAGCTAACTTCAAATCTTTTGCTTCGAACTGATTCCGCTCTGTGATTAAAAACCGACATCGCTGATAAGTTTGACCCTAAACAAGAGAAACGACACCATCAACAGGGGGGTTTAGATCTGACGTCAATCTGGCTAAATGACATTATTGTTTGATATGAGTGGTATATATGACTAATCACCACAATCAAGCATTAGTATAGATATTTGCATGCTAACCACCAGCAAATTGTTGGTAACCTGATAAACGCAGAAGGATTCATTTTATAAATGTCCAAACCAAGTTCAATTTTAACAGTTTGAAAAAATCTGTGCATTGGGTATACGATATTCATTATAATAAAGGCATTTATCGTATTTCCCAATGAACGAAGAACACAACGATATTGTTTTGCTTATTGACGTTTCGCTCTTTAATGCTGCTGCTAGTAGCTTCATCAAAGTATTATTAATCCAGAACTTACACAATCTCAACTCATATATAACAACTTAATCATAGTTCCTCAGTATGGGGTCATTTTTTGGTTGTCAAATTGGCCAATTCGTAAAGATAACAAAACCAGGTGTAGATTGTTGGATTCGATAAGTGTGTAAAATTATAAAAGCAGCGTGTGTTTACACAGTGAAATTGCTTATCATATTCGTGTTGATTTTATCATTTCATGGGGGAGCGGAGGGGTGTTGTAACCAGGTCAAATTCTGTTTTAGTACATCATTCCCACTCAGATGATTTGGATTCCTTTTGATTATATAAAGTGCTTCTGGTGATATGAGACATTCTTTGTGATTACCGAAGTTTTTCTGGATTGTTTCCATGTTGTCAAAGTCAATTTTTAGGCCTGATTGTGTCGCCAATTTGACAACGCGAAAATGCCCCCATGTTGAGGAACGATGATTACATTTTTATATTTAAGCTGTGATTTTGTAAATTCTGGTTCAATAATACCCCTTTGATGAAGCTATTAGCCAAAACAAATTAGGAAATAGGCTTCGCTCACCTCTGACCTCTTTGTTAATTTCATAAATATTCCTATGACAAGTCTGTGTGGGATCAGATTGTTCACTACAGAATTCAGACAAATTACGTCTTCGTATTGCTTTGTCTAAAGCTATTAGCATCAAATAGCGAAACGTCAGTAAAAACAAGACAATATCGTTTTGTTTTTCATTCATTAGGAAATACCAAAAGCCTTTATTATAAAGGGATTCACAATTTTGTTCTGTCGTCTATACTTTGAATACAATAAGAATTAGAATATTGAATAAAATCCCCAATTAAACATTTAGAAAACAGCAAGATTGAGCGAAGAAATATTTACTTTGCAATTAGATCCTCATCTCTGGTTCTATTCTTATCTACATGTATAGCATTTTAATACAATACACAACAGTTTGCCAGTCGAGTGGCGATATGTTTGTTAACAATAATTAGTCAGTAACAAAATATCATTAGGGTGATAATTAACGAAGAAAATGATTACACACAATTAAAAGGTAGAATAAATGGTTAGAATAAATTAATTTTACAAGGATAAGACGTAATTAAAGATGAACTGGTCTCCATTGTCTCTTCAAAACCACCCCTATTCTACGTTCAAGAAATAAGGACAGACTACCTATATTTGCCTCTTCTGTGTGTATAAACCAGTTTGACTGCAGCTGCGGAGCCAGCTACATTGGACGTACAATTACGCAGGTTCATCATCGTATTTCCGAACATCAGCCAACATGGTTAAGCAAGGGACAAACAAGATCTATTCGTAGCTAGCTCTATTTTAGCCCACCTTGTAGATAGTCAGCATAAGGTTGACGTTAATACAGCATTTAAAATTATCTATCGCATTCCTACTAATCTTAATTTTACCCTAAGAGTTCGTCTTCTACATAAACAGATGACACTATAAGAATCCACCTGAAGACAAGTCAAACCTGTGCGTGTTCAAAAGAAATTTGTACAGCCACTTTCCTTACCTTGGCCATCGTTACATGAATGTATTAACCGGACTACATTGGCACCCTCCCCCTAAACCTTTAAAATTAGTAAAAATTATAATTGTCCAAATTATTTTATTATTTATTTATTTTGACCCCTTCATTTTTAATTACATGTTATCCTTGTAAAGTTAATTTATTCTAACCATTTCTACCTTTTCAATGCGTCTGATTTTCTACATTAATTATCAACCCATTATTGCTAACAAACATGTTATCACTTAATTGGGAAACTGTTGTGTATTGTAATAAAAATGCTATACGTGTATTATTATTATTATTATTGTATCCTTTAGTTCCTAGAGGAACATAGGGCTTCAGCTGCGCACCTCCATTGACTTCGGTTTTCTGACAACTTTTTCAACCTGCTCCAGGTCTGTCCACATACTTTCATCTCCTCCTCGCATGACCTCCTCCAAGTCACCCTTGGACGACCAACTCGCCGCCTCCCTTTCGGGTTCCACTCGAGGGCTTGTCTAGTGATGTCACTTGATGGTTTCCTCAGCGTATGGCCAATCCATCTCCATGTCTTTCTGCCTATTTGTTTCACAATCGGTTCCTGATTGGTTCGCTCCCAGAGATCCCTGTTGCTGATCTTTTCTGGCCATCTGATCTTGAGTATTGAGCGGAGACAGTTGTTAATGAAGGTTTGAAGTTTGTTTGAGATGCTCTTTATGACTCGCCAAGTCTCTGATCCGTATAGTATTACTGACTTCACATTGGAGTTGAAAATCCGGATCTTATTTTTGATGCTGATTGCTGTTGACCTCCACACAGATTTGAGAGTAATGAAAGCTTGTCTTGCTTTTCCGATTCTGGCTTTGATGTCCTCGTCAGTTCCGCCTGTAGTTGAGACGATGCTTCCCAGGTAGGTGAAGGAGGTTGTTTCTTTCAGGTTCTTCCCATTTATGCTTATTGTGGTCTGTTGGTGTTGTTGATGTTGGCTAGGAATCTTCATTATCTCTGTTTTATCTATGTTCACGTGAAGTCCTATCTTCTCCGGATGCTTCTTCTGCCAACTTGTTACTTTTCACTTGCATATCTTCCAGTTTATGGGAAATCAGACATATATCATCGGCGAAATCCAGATCCTCCAAGTCTTTTGTGTCAGTCCATTTTATGCCTGTTCCCTCGTTGGTTGCCGTTGCTATACGTGTATATTACAGTAGAACCAGAGATGAGGATCTAATTGCAAAGTAAATATTCCTTCGCTCAATCTTTGTGTTTTCTAAATTAAAATATTCACAAACACGCCAAATAAGGAATTTTAAGTAGGCTAAACACAAACGAAAAATACCGAAAAATTCTTAGTTTTTAACCATATTTGAGACGGTCAAAGTATTAGTTAATTTAACAAACAAGCTTAACCGGAAAAAAGTACTTACTGATAGGATTGTGCATACTATTTATATCTTTATAAGTAGTGTTATTAATATCGTTAATATTATTGTTATGATTACTATTCTCAGTTATCCAATATCCATGAATGATATTGTAAAGTTCTCTTTGTTGACTGTAGTTCTGACTATTGATATCTAATGTTTGCATATTCGTAATTTCACATTTAAAAAAACTGGGCATTTCAATGTTTAATATGTAAACGATAGTAATCCAATTGATAAGTAGGCGCCATGTTTCACATAAATTCATTGTTCTACAATACACCATTGAATACATATAACTCGTTAGCTTTCAGTGTTTTTATTTTGGTCAGTTTTTGCCTTATTGAAGGTAAGTGTTTTTCAAATGTTTCGCTCAGTTATAATTAAGTAGTATATTGGACATTGAAACAAATAACGCGAGAATGGCGTAGAATAACCCTCAAAAGTTTATCATTTGAATATGTTATCAATATATGAATTTTTAAAAACAATTAAATTTTTTTGTAAGAAAATCTGCTCGTTGTTTTTGCTCATTATGTGGAAAAATAAACAAACCGCGGTTGGATGGTTCTCAGTAGCTATAACTGTGATTTGTAACAAATGAATGGAGAGAAATTGAAGATTGAATTATCCAATCAGATGTCACCTCGATTGTCACGAATAGGGAAACACGTTTATTATATATATAAACATATATATATATATATATATATATATATATATATATATATAAACTCCACTGAAATAATAATGCCTTATGCATTTTATGCACATAGATACACTTTTGTAGGCGATCAGTCAACCCATTATAAACAGTAGGACAACACCAAGGAATTTATCTTATCCGTTAGCTGTTAAGGCAGGCTTAGTTAAGTGTTTAACACACCACGCAGTAGCACTAAACAGCACAAGAAAAGACCTAAATGATGAAATGAAACAGATAGAAGAGGCGTTGGTGTTGAATGACTATCCTGTAATATTCATTAAGAAGATCGAAAAAGGCTTAAAGCAAAGTAAATATAATAATGAAACTAGTAATGATAAAATATATAAGAGAGAATATAAGGCATCTACTGTTATTCCATATAGGGAGGGGACATTTGAGACCTTACGTAGGATTCTGAGTAAAGCAGGAATTAGGGTGGTGGCATTCAAACCTACAAACTTACTCAGGTAGAGAAGCTCTGTAGGCTGAAGAACCCTATCGGTGGAGCCGATCGGACAGAATAATATAATTTACAAGGTACCCTGCGATGACTGTGAGTTAAATCAACTACATAGGTCAAACTAGTAGATCAGGGGTAATCAGATTGTCGGAATATAAGAATTTAGCTAAGGTAAGAATGGTTGACCCCGAGAAGATAAGTAATTTGGGAAAAAGCTCAGCAATTGCACTACAGTCATTGACACAAAACCACACAATAGGGTAAGAGAGGGTTATGATTCTAAGAAGTGATAAAGGTTGGTGGAGAGCGAGAGAGTTTGCTTACTGAATCCTGGTTCATTTAGTCTACACCCAACACAACACATGCAACAGAAATGACTCAATGCAAATACCACAGATATGCATGGAAGATATTATTGCCGCCAGTCAGTCAAATTAGAGGAGGATAATAAATAATCTCAAAGTTCTATATCAATTCAAGCACATCACAACATTCTAACAAGTAACTTATTATGACTATAAAAATACTCATCTTATTTCCCATCTGATTGATTTTGATCAATAACACTCATATTACTATTGTTTCTGAATGTATGTACATTATCCTACATTGATTTTCATTCCAATGTCTAATTGACACCACATCTGTATATAAATGAAGCAAGAAATTGAGTTGTGTGATTAAGTGACTTGATATGATTATGAGTAGCAATAGTTAGTGCTCGAAAGGTGGTCATCAGTTAATATTACTGTATAACAAACACTGACATTATACTCTACTACAGTCCCCAAGTTTTATACTTATAGCAATATCAAGGAAACACGGAAGGACGTATATAAGTGGAATAGGCGCACTGTAGTAGAACTCAACTCAATGTAACATAAGGCTATTCAATGTAAAAATAAGACATGTAGTTCACTGAAGAGACTCTTTCCGGTGGTGAATTCATTTCCTCCCCTCTCCTCCCCCTTAGCTGTACAACTGCATTTATATACAGCCTTTTATCTGAAATAGGACAGTAACAAAAGTGATCAATTTTCAAGAGTGTTAATATTAGTCAGTGCATACAAGGAGTTGAAAAATTGTTTCAGTTTTACATGATAAGATGAAAAGTTTCATGAGGCATGTTAAACTTTAAGCACCAATGACTACCAGCGGAGTGCGACAGCACCAATGACCTTGAAACCCTCACTGAGCCAATCAGTGAAACCCGGCAAATAATGTTGTCATCATCAATCAAAAATATGTTCACCGAAGCCAAAGAAAAGTTAGGGTTAGGTTAACCTGTGCGTCAGTGGCACAGTGGTTAGGACTCTCGCCAACCATGCACATGGGCCGAGGTTTGATCCCCTGCCACTGACGCACACCTGATATCTATGGTCGGCCTGCGAAATTTGGGCTACCGATATCGCATGCTGAAAATTCCATACTTGTACCAATGATACGGTGTTGAATCAAGCTTTGGTCAAAAATAAGAAAAAATAAATGAAGGCAAAATTAGGGTTAGTTCAAGGTAGATAACATTTAATTGATGGATGTTGACTAGCTTTGAAATCCAGGATGTGCGTTTCGTCCTATTTGGGACTCGTCATCTTGGTGTACCTGCATTTACAAATTTTTATTATTATTTTTTTTGATTACAGCTTGATTCCACACTGTATTTTTGGTACAAGTATGGAATTTTCAGCGTGGAACACGGTAGCCCAAATTTCGCAGGCCGACCATAGATATCAGGTGTGCGTTGGCGAGGGCCCGAACCCCGGATCATGTGCATGGTTGGCGAGAGTCCTAACCACTGTGCCACCGACGCACATGATGTTTCCACCGAGGCTCGAACACAGTGCCCATAGTTTCAGACGCCAAAGCTTTATCCCTAGACCACTTGTGCCAGCCTTTATGCAACGAGTCGTGTTAATTTAATTGAAGCCGACATGTCAACCTGACACCAAGCACTTTGATCCAATCAATCGGCGGGAAAATCTAAAATTCAATTAAGTGGATAACATTTAGTTTAGGAGTATTTTTTCACGTTAAGGAAAAATTAGTATTATTGTTAGGGTTAGAAAACCTATATAATTACATGCATAGAATGTGGTTAAGTTCCTCTGTTGATATACGGATAGAACTTCTGCACCATGACAAAGTATAATTCCATTGTGGGTAAAATTTATTCTGATAAAGTGTCTTAGTGTTTGTTATACTGTCACATTAACTGATGACGTTTCAAGCACAACTTATTATTCAGGAAATGCTTCCGTAATACTCTATGAGACTTTATCAAAGTAAATTTTACCCACAATGGAATTATACTCTGTTGATACTCCAACCTAAAACTGAGAGCCAACGACTAGCATGCGTTCAAGGTAATTGGAGCTTTCGCACCCCTGGAACGGTGTTGTTAAACTTCACCTTATTTTTATCACATGTAAGATCAAGGTATTCTCTGTAACATTTTTCTACAGTTTTATGCATTTTTTTTTCATAGAAATATGTATTCCATACACGAAAATGCCTCCTTCACAAGATTGGTGCACTCGAAGTCATTCGCTGATTGGTAGTTGATGGTGCTCATATTTGAACTTTGCTGTTTCACGAATGAATTGCACTCAAGATGTGCACAGAAACGAAAGAAAATATGGAATTAGGTAAGAGTTCCAAAGAAATACAAGAATTTTAAGAGCAAACAAACAAAAATAAAGTGAGGAGAAATCAGCGAGGTTTTTAGCATGATAATAGGAACACCTGAATAATTTTCTCCGGTATGCACAGCTCTGGTTTTTTAACCGACTGGCTCCAGCTCCAGCAATGCAAAGGAGACGAAAGCTTATTGCATTTAGCAGGTAATTCCTCACTTTGTAAATTACATTGAAGGAGAGGTTTCTCGAGAATAGGTGATCAATGTTCTTAAGGTGTTTAATTATCGCGCTCTTTACAGAGCTACTACTAACGTTTTATATAGGATACTCGTCGAACGACCAATATACCTGACTCCAAAGTAACATGTGGACTTATATGCACACATGGAATTGGTCAAATGCGAGATCTTTTCCTTCAGGTTTCCGCAGATCACCGGGCGATACATTGATGCAATGTTGATAACCTGGATGTATTTTGGAGCACAATTTAATCCTACTTATAATCATACCTTTTAACGAGCAAGTAACTATGGGAACAAACAAAAAAACAAGAACCAATCACTTAACAGATATGCAGGAGAAAGTATAGATGGATTGGACATTCGCTGAGGAGGCCGCTGGATGACATAGCGCGTCAGGCCATTACTCGAGTGGAACCCTAAAGGGAAGCGGCGAGTGGAATGTCAGTGCGAGGGTGACATTGAGGAGATTGTGTGAAGTAGAGTTAAAACAGTATGGACTAACATGGATTCAGGTGAAAAGTACAGAAGAAGACAGAAGGTAGTGGAGACGTGCAGTTGAAGCCCTATTTTCCTCTAGGAACCCAAGGGTACATTAATATTAATAAGAAATATAATCATATCACTTTATTCTCACACAGCTTCTCTGCCTTACATTATTCACTGCAATTTTCCACATATTGCGTATAAGATTTCCGTTATTTCGATTGAGCATTGTTTGCGTTGATTTGATGAATACATTTAAGATGATTAACTTCTCTCTCTCTCTCTCTCACTCGTTACCAAACTTAATAACATTATAATACTCTATCCCTCTGCCATCCAGTTATGTGATTACTCGCAAGTGACTGTATTACAATGGCGGATTAATTTATTCTACTCTGAGACATGGTAGATCCAGTTAAGGAACAATAACATTATTTATCGAATATGGGATGGTGATTCCAGGGTCAGTTACATGGGTCAGTCTAATGAATCTGGGTTAGTTAGGTTATTCGAACATAGAAATTTAACTTCAGGTAGTATCACTAATAATAATAATAGTAAAGCTTTATTTCTGACAACATGTGAACATATATTACAGAAATTTTCGGCTTTTCAACTCCAAAACATTCCTTCTTCATACAGAATTTTCATATAAAGCAATAATCCAAAGTACATCATATGCTGTAGTGTTGCTGTAAATGAGGAGGGATGCATTAGTGGTTCAGCTGTAGAGTGCTCGCCGACCACATACGTGGTCCGAGGTTCCAGTCTCCGCCGGCGCACACTTTTGCTCCCCACTTAGCAGGTTACATTCCGGACAAAGAGAGAAGGTTTCGCTAGGGTCCAGCAACCCCAGCCCGTAAAAGTAACACTGGATATTGACCACATTGATAAAAGCTCGGCAGTTAAAATGTATTCACTTGTATGTAATCCCTCAACAGGAGGGGATAAAGCCAAAGTATTTAATAGCGTATTTAGGTGAAGACAGAGTTTAAACATTGAATCTTTTTTCATCAGGAAACAAGCTGAATCTCAAT